ACAACCAAAGGAGAACCAAACAAGAACGACTGCCCAGTCTGCCAAACAGATCTCTGTAATTCTGGATCCAATGTCAAGTTCAGTTTCTTCGCTCTTTCCGCAGTAGTTTTGGCAATATTCGTCCCAAAATTCATGTAATCATTGTAAAGTTCATTTTCATTCTCGATACTCCTTCTGGACCTCACTTCACTATTAGTAAACCACTCATTGTATTAATTTTTTCATTCAAATGCATTTTATTATCACATGTTCCTCAATTATATATATATATATCCTTCGATAAACTCCTACCAGTGTTCAAGATTCTTTTGTAGATGAGAAGGCCTATAACAGAAACAGTGAATAATATATTTTTCTAATGAGAATTTGTTATCATTATGTTTGCAATATTTTTAATTTTATAATGAATGTTAGTTTTTCATTGAGATCTATCAGAGAGTTTCAGTTTGCAGTTCGTTGAGTTTCTGAATTCTTGTTGATTTTGTATATTTTTTAAGTATCATCATTAGAAATAAAGAGTATTTGATTAACTTGTTTTCATTTTTTATTGATTGTCGAATGTAAATTTCCATACATCTAATTATTGAGGTGCTATCAAATTATTATTATCAATATCATACTGCAATGTTATGATCATTTTTGAAAACATTGTATCACATGTATACAGGGTTATCCAAACCAAGTGTCTGCAGCCAACTTTGTTAATGAATTGTTTGAAGCACCAAACTATATTGTCCAAATTCGAAAACGCGATGCTCAATTTTTTTGTTCATTCTTCTATTTCAAAAAGGCTCAAAAATAGTGCTAGTTTGCTAAATTTAACAATTTTTTGTGATGTATCTCTAATCAATTAATTAGTTGCCATCATGCAATTGTGGAAATTTGATTTGGATAACACCGTATATGAATATGAAGCATTTTATTTCGCTATTCATATAGAGTTGAGTATATGATATTATTGATATTCATGGTTCGTAACTGTAACTAAGACCAGAGACACATTTTATTTAGGTGGCTTGGTTCTTCTTATTCTGAGCTCAGGATTCTTTACTTCAAATATTTCCAATTATTTAGTAATCAAACAATATAGAAACAAATTTTCATAAAACTCCTTCTGGAACAATATTCAACGAGTGAATTTGTCGATTCATCACCAACTCATGCAATCGATAAGTACATAATACATAAGAAACAGAGCCTACACAGAAAATAAGGAATCGTTGAATCGAACAAAATTGAATTGTATGAAGCAAATAAAAGTGTCATATATGCACGAGGTAATATAATCTTGAAATGAGTAAATCTATATCTTGTTTCAGAGCGAATTTTATGTTTGAATTTAGCAAATATGTCTTGCATGAACTCGAGATCTTATTCAATTATGCACATCCATGAATTTTTTATGAAGAGATATATTGAATTGGCTCAAACAATCATTTTATATGATTCAAAATAACGAGATATATTGATTCAATCAATATTCAGTTTATTCAATGAAATATTTGGTTGATTCGAAGAAATATTTGGTTGATCCAATGAATTATTCGGTTGATACAATGGAATATTTGGTTAATTCAATGAAATAAATATTTCGTTGATTCAAGAGAAACTGTATTTTCATTCGACAAATTGTTTTGTTGAACCAAATTCAGTATTAATTCGGGAATTTCACAACAATAGAATAAACTATTATCGTGTGTGTTCAATAGATATAATTGTTCGTCGTGGCATATAGCCAGGAAAGTAGTTGGTTTCTATTGAATAAACTGAAAAAGAGTAGATATTCTCATCACATAGAGAATGCGAATTCTCAATGTATTGCTTCTTATAAATATATATCAATTTTTGTATGTCTATAATTTATCTGAGAATATTCCTTTTCAACTCATATTCTCATCACTCTTGTTGATTGTACTAATAACTATCTCAATTTTAGGACAATTATGTAATTTCTGATTCAAGGCTGATGACGGACATATCAATGTCCAAAACATGTACCAATTTCCGATGTGTTGATCACATCGAATGTCGTGGAGATGACTTTGTGTATATAATTTAGTATTTCATACTTGACTCCACTTTGAGAAACCATGGACTTCTACCAAAGATTAATGACTATCTTGTTGTCTTGTTTAAGTTTCAAATAAGGGTTTGACCTCCGGTTTGACAAGTGTTCCATCACGAACATATTTCCTTTATAAGCTCACCTGGATGTCCACTTTTTGTGTTATCATGTATAACTTTCAGACTATTCACTAGTAGTATTGTTGCCTTTCCTATTATAGATAAATATTCATTGTGAAGCCTTTTTGATAGCCCTGAAATTAAAAACATATGAATTCCAACCTCACATAATTCATTATTATTATTTCTAGGCTTATTCATAGATAATAATTTGTTGTTTACAGAACATGTGACAGGTTTGTGTAAAAAACTGGCTTCTGGATGCTATGTTGTAAGGAACATTGCCACAGAATTAGGATCTTCATCTGCTAGAACAGCATATTTTGCCTTAATTGAGTGTCACTTGAAATATGGAATAGCATTTTGGGGGGCCTGCAGTGATCATTCATTCCAGAAGAGTTCTGTTTTGCAGAAACGAGCCCTCAGATATATAGGCCGGGCGAAATCTATAGAGATAGCTGTAGGGACTTATTTAAAAATTATAATATTTCAACTGTGGTTTGTTTATACATATTAGAAACAGGGTCTCTAATTCAAAAAAACAAATATGCCTTACAATTTGTCTCGTCACGATACAATACAAGGCAGAATGGTCAAATTAAGTTGATAAGACCCCGAACCACTATGGTCAAGTAGTCGATCATTTTTAATGGAATAAATATATTCAATCACCTTCCAACTGACATCAAAGAAATATCCATGAAATATCATGTGATAAAAAGTTCCGCACTAATAAAGTCAAAGCACTACTCGTCCAAACTCCACTCTATAGCCTGGATGAATATTTTTCAATGGAGTTTCAATTTACTGAATAGGTATAACTTTTTTGAATTTGAAATGAAGTTAATATATTTTCAACTAGGTAGACATAGCTCTATACGAGCTTTTGAATGTTGTTTGTTATTTGTCGTACTATTGTCGTACTTTGTGTTATTTATTTTCATGTAATTTAACAAGCTTTGTCAACAAGTGTGTTTTTACTCATGACAATAAAGCATATTTTGAATTTGAATTTGAATTTGAAAACAATCTTCACAAGCATACCTATATGGTAGGCAGGTACTACCCTTGTACTGCATTAGCATTCTATATTTTTTCCAATTTTATGCAGCACATTTCCCTGTTATATAAGTATCAGAATTCATTTTTCAATTGTTTAACCTAATGCTAGGCCTCTATAGTAATTTCTATAAAAATACTAGGCAATTGGCATTGCCAAAATGACAATCAGCATTTCTGTTGGGTATTCTGTGACAAGATTATTTTCGTAATTACTGACTTACAATGTTCTTTGTCAAGAAATATGTGTTCTGCTTCTTATTGAGTTTTGAGTTGATTAGAACTTGGTTAGAACAAACTATGTGAAAAAGACATTCAATTTGCACCTAATGATGCATAGGTATAAAACCATCCACCATTTCACCACATAGAATTGCACCAGCAATATGAATAAAAATAGGTGTTGAATTAGAATTAGGATCAGGCCCCTGCTATACTGGCAGAGATTAGTTACCTCTGATACTGGTACCAGTATATCACCTGAAGAAGCTACTGTGTTAGCGAAACATGTTGTGTGTTTAAGAATTTTGTGGAAATCTTATCGTTTGTGAAGTTTTTACATTTGCCATGGATTTCCATCAAGTAACGGCCGAGTCAATTCAAAAAATATTGTTGTTCATTGTATATGCTTTATTTTTATAGCAGTCGTACCTACCCAATTCGTGGTTTCAATTAACATTGACAAGCAGCAATCAACATTATTTAAATACTGTCTGTAGGTTAATTGAGGAGGTGGTATATTCATTATTCCAGATTTCCTGGGATTTTCTCTCCTCGTTTCTATAAAATAAAAATATGAATATTATTTCAATATACGTGTAGTAAGGACAAATCAGACTGCGTTTAGAGAATTTTCCTATGTGACAGCCTGAAAGAAAAATGCACTTGCTTGTCAGTGACAATCTGTATTGAAAAAGGTTTGGAGAAGAGAAATAAAGATATATAGAAAAAATATCAAAAATTCACTTAGCTTTGAACGTTTCGGAAACGAATCTGCTTCATTTTTTTATTTTTTATGTTGAAAACAGAAGCAGAATTGTTCCCGAAACGTCCAAAGCTGAGTGAACTTTTGATAATCTTTGAAAGAAGTCCATGATGGTTACTAAAAGTGGAGTGGTGTAGTTTGATAAATTTTTTCTATATACCTTTATTTCTCTTCTCCAAACCTTTCTCAATACAAATTCTTTTAGGGTCTCTGATAGGAAAATTCTTCAAACGCAGTGACATTTTGGAGCAAATTATCTGATTTGTCCTCACTACACGTATATTGAAATAATATTCATATTTTCATTTTATAGAAACGAGGAGAGAAAATCCCGAAAAATCTGGAATAATGAACATTATTCAATCACAACTGGAATATAATCTACTCACTCCTTTATGACTTGAATCTGAACTGACTGAACTAAACTTGTCAACTTGACAAACATTCAGACGTCAATAAACTAACTCAAAATTCCGTTCGAATACCAATAATTAACACAAAGTAAACTGATAAAACCTTCAACTGAGTTTACTCTAGGAGTTTTATCTCTTTTGATCGCACGATTCAAACAAAAGAAATTTGGTGTTTTTTGTTTCTCGATCGACAACTAAAAGCCGTGTACCTATTTTATGAGAAAACGGCGTCAAGGTGGCTGCTACTCTGGTTTTTTGATATACATCAAATATCAATTCTATACTTTTCCCCTTCTGCCTTGATTATATACACTATACCCAAAGCCTTCAGTATATCATTTGAGAACAGCGTACCTATTATTCGATCTCCCCTCGTACTCTTCTCTATTTTTGATGACGATCACGTGACGAGAGTCGGAGCTTCTGGCTTGAGTTAGGACTTGTTATCCTCCTTCCACTAGCCATACCGGTTTAATGTATACATTCACTGTGGAACACTAGAATAACGGTGCAGAAATAAACTCGTATCAGTTCGTTCCTTCCTACAGTCTACAGTGTGGTAATAATAACATTCAATACATCTTTGCAAAAATGGCGAAGGCCCTAGTGTTGATGTTTGTTTGTGTGGCTCTTTTGCAAGTCGGTAAGTGGATTTTCCAATTAGAACCTAGCCATAGCACCACTATACGGAAAATATTGCTACGGCGGCTGGTAAAGAGCGTATAAAATTGTTCTGTTCTTTGATTTGCTAGAAGCGTGGAGTAGCGTTCCTTCCTCGAAACGGAGAGGACGGGGGGAAATCTCTATTACAGCTAATCATTTTTTGAAGTGATTAATCGAAAGAAATACTGTTGATGCATTTACTGGTGAGGCCGATAAAGATTCGCTATTTCAATGATGTTTTTTTAGGATCGGCCTTGAGCGAAGCTCTCGACCGGAAATTTTCTGTTTCTCGCGCCCGGCGAGCAGCTAGGCAGGCGCAATAACTATTACCTCGCTATTATAGTGCTTTTTTTTCATTTATTTTCCTTTGAACAAGAAAAGTACATTTTGTATAGGTATAGAAGAATACATTACAAAGTAATAAGTCATATGGAAACAGTGAAATAAAAGCTAGGCAAGTATGCTGGACAGTTATTCTGACTGAATAAAATTCATCAACGAAACAATGGAGTAAAAACAATGTTCTAACTGTTAGAATCTAACAGAAACGATTTCAAACCAAATTTGTGCTAGTGCTAAGGCTCGACTCTAGTGATTTCCTATGTAGTCTCTCAGGAGGTATTTTATGGATGGTTGTTATCACTTGAAACTTTTTTCACAGTAGGTGGGAATAGTTACTTAGATCTATTATTGGAAGATTTGGAACATAGGTGCGGCACCCCCACCCCATTGAAAAATGTTTTTCGGCTTGGCATTTTACGGAGCGCAGGCAGTGTTGCCAACGACCAGTTGTTGAAAAACGCCAATGGGCCATTGGAAATTTTTCGAAATCTAGCTAATTTCTAGCTTTTTTAATACTTATTTCATACTGTTTACCACTCGTCGCACTAGTCAGAGCCAGATTTAGGGGGGCTATGGGACTATTAGCCCCCGGCGGTGAATTTCAAGAGGCGGTAGAGAAAAAGAGAAAAGAGGAAAAGCAAGCAGCAATACAGTCATTGACTGGTTGAGATACTGTTTTTGTGTAGGAAATCATAACATGCACTAATCTAGTGTCAGCTGTGTCAAAGAAGATTATTCTTGATGAGAAGAAAAACCGCATTCTACTCGTCTAACTCAATAACAAAAACAAAATCAGAGTTTTTGTCCTTGGTATTGTTGGTAATGGTACTAATAATGAATAAATATTGAAACTTAGATTTAAAAAAATGAGTGAAAAAAGTGGTGCATTCTGGAAACGGCAGAAGATTTATAAACAAAATCAGTTAGACGAAGTTGTCAAGAAATGTCCTAAAAAATACATCCATTTTTTCTAAATTCAAATGAGACAGAATCAGAACCGATAGAACCGTCTCCGGGAACTTCACGATCTCAAGACAGGAATGGTAAGTTTTATATATTTTTAAATTCAATACGCGAAAAAGAAGAGTTGGAATCTCAAAGATAGATAATCAAAATGTGAACACGACTCAGCGTTGTTCAGGGATAATCACAACAAATTCATTGAATATTGGCAGTTACTGAGAATTTTTTTACTATCCCTGATGATTCGTAACGCCAGTGGTGAAAGGTCATTCTCAACAGAGTGAAAAACTACCTTACCATGGAATTCCCATGGTAGAGGATATATTGAATATCTTATCAATTTCAAGTATTAACAGTGAGATGTGAAAAAAATGTTTGTTGTTTATTGTTATATTATGTTTATCGTGTGAAGTAAATATAATTTGATTCGTTGTGCATAAAGATTTCTCGTTATTGTTATATGCTGTAGAAAAAGCAGTGAAAAGATTATTTGAATTTTGAAACTGACAATTGAAAATTAAATATTTGGCGGTGGCGCGGCGGCATCGTAAAAGTTAGCCCCCGGCGTAAAAGAGTATAAATCCGGCATTGGCACTAGTCTGAACTTTTTCCTCACCCAACATTTTTTGTATCTGTTCTTCACGTTTCAACGGGTCATTTTAAATGATGATACGCAGACTATGATAATTTTAGTCGAATGGAAAACGCTATTTCAGTGTTTGCAAGTTAGAAGTTGATGTTTCGGTCATCTCAACCAGGCATTTGTGAATGTTTCAGTATTGAGCATGGCTTGCACATGATTCTAAAATAAGGATACAAATATAGTTATTCATCGAATCAAATCAATAACAAAATATTAAATAATTAAGTTATCAGTTTTCATTCTTCAGTCAGTAATAGCATCACCTACTATTCTGTGGTAGTCACTTATCTAACTAATACCATTCAAAGACTCTATTATGTGGTAGAAGTGGCAGAATCATATATAAAAGCTTATAATGTCGTACCTTCTTTCCTACATTGAATGGTGGGTAACGATTGGTAATGTTGTTTGGTTAAATATTGATTTATATAGGGCCAGAAAATAGCATTACAGGTTTCTCAAATGGCTGAATTATCCGCTTCGGTGGTAACGGCTAGCCGCCGGATGCAACATTTAACCTCCAAATCACCTCTTGAAAAGGCCAGTGCTAGCCATAAATATGCCGTGTTGGCAACACTGGGCGCAGGAGCCACGAAGCCTAAGCGTTGATGGATATATTACTATACAGTGTGACCCACTTCTAATGGAAACACCCTTGTATCTTACGTAATCGCACCAGCGTAGATAAGGAGAGAGTACTGGGGGACAGTACCCCCCTCCCCCCTGAAAGCACAAAAATAGTTAAACAGTAAAAGACTTGGAAACAATAATTAATAATGAATTCGAAATGTTATATATCAACAGGTTGATGCCTGATCATGTTATTCTATACCAGTGATCCAAAGATTCGAGTGAATCAAGTTTCTTAATATGTTAGTAAATTTAGAAATGAATTCTCTCTCAAACATTCAAGTCAGATTTGTTGCAATCGGAAATAGATCTTTGGAAAAATGAATGGGAAGAAACCAAGAATAAACATATAATGGTTATAAGTTCAAGTGATAGCAATATTGTTGAAAAATTGAGAATTTTTGAGCTGATAACACTGTTTTCAACTCATTGTTCAAGTGTTAGGTATCGATTTTGTTATTATTTCATGAAGAAGAAGAGTTCATGATTATCTAACCTCTCAATAAAGTCAGTCCACTGACATTTTACAACATTATATTGTTCAAATCGAGAGATTTTGTATTTGCTGAATCTGGTCGTTGTTGTGCGACTGGTGCAAGTAATCAATCATGTCCCCGAAATGAGAAAAAAACTATAAAAGCCGGATGAAAATAATCGTAATTTTTTTTTAATATTCTAGCAAAATAGCTTGATGAACTATCCATCAGGCAACTGAAATTGCTCTGATATGCCGAAATTGTAGTCTCATATTTCCTCAACGAATGGGCGTGTACACCTTAGTAGAACTTATAACTCAAACCATGTTTATAATGATCCTTTTATACATAAATAATGATTGACGACATAATTCGATCGAAAAATCAACTGGAATATTTTATTTTTGGACATAAATGATAGTACCTTCTGAAAACGGACCCTCTTATGACGTAGAAACCTCATCTCGCCATAGTTAGAAGAAAATACCAAACGCCCGACGGAGACTGAGGCAACTGATATATTAATTCTTTCAACTGTGATCTCGCGCTAATTCACTCTGTCAGAAATCATGTATCATTCATTTCTGTCTGGAATAGTCCCAGCAAACATGATTGAGCGGTAAATAGGCGGCCGATTGCTGGTAACTGCGGATAGTTGTCGGCAGCGGCACACCTATGTCGTTAAAATGTTGAAACGACATCGGTTTTGCCGCCATGGCTGAACGTACGCATGTTTATAATGGATGTTTGTTATTCAGCCAGAAATTGCCCGTTTAAAATTCCCGACAATCGTGCCGATGTCGCTTTGACGCAGTATGTATGTTGTTTACAGGTCAGTGGTAACTGAACCAAACGCAATGTTGGCATCACTGGGTTTTTGAGCATTGGTAGTACTGCTAATTTATTTTCGTGTTTTAGTTCTGTGTCCGTAGATCGCGTCAGTTGTCTGTCACTTGTCTTCAGGTATTTGTTAAAGGGCGTGATAATATTAATATTATTTAGAAAAAGTTGGTGAGTTTTATGATTGATCCCAGCAAACTATCGTCCGACATCAAGAATAATGATATATGTTATATAACAATAATTAAACTCGTTATTGTCTACCAATCCATTTTTGTGGTAATGATTTTGAGCTAAATATTTGTTCATTACCCTATATTATAACAATGATGCTCCAATGCGAAGTTCAGCTCTTTACCTATATTCGAAAAATATTTGATTCACAGTAATAGATCAAACACTGGAAAAGTAATGTGGCTAGAACATTATCAGACTCAACCTATTCTACGTCGTCGAATCAACAAGTTATGATAGGTATATCGTATATGATCAAATATCAAATATAATTGAAGTATTGTACTATTTCAATTCTGTTGACTGATGGATTCGTAATAGTATCTTTCAAGTTTCGCAGTAGCCTAGTGGTATAAGCGTCTGACAGTTGATTGGATATCCGTTCGATCGCAAGTTCGAGTCCGACTCCCGACTATATCTTTTTTTTATTTCTAACCGAATAGTGTCGGTAGATAGTCGGGCGGCCTACTAGCGGCCGGTGCGACACGGGCTAGCCGGGCCGACGATGTATCATGATTGTGGCCCGCTGATGTTGACTGTCGGCAGTTTTTGGAGGGCGTCTAAAGGCCCGCGCGATACATGTTTGCTGGGGTCTTGTTTCAGTATTAGGGTTTTGATGTCACATCATCGCCTCGATTTCAGAGGTCCGAAATATCGGGGATTTCAATAATTGGTGAGCTAGTCTGGGTGAGTTCTATCGAATTATGAAATAATTTTTTTTTGTGATATAAGCCCATTGGAACTTCAAGAAAAGGTTTTCAAGTAGTTGGTCACAGCAGTGAACCTATCCTATAATATGTTTGTAATCACCATTCTAAGTTTTTCAATAACTCTTCTAGGAATTGAAACTTT